AATAAAAATGTAGCGTTAAACGTTTAAGCCAACCTTGTTGGAAGTCGCATAAGAAGTATAACTTCAATAAATTAAACATTATTCAGTAGATTACTTGTTGAAAACTACGTAAACGATGTCATTGCTCTGTAGTTAGGAGTTCAAATCCTGTAAAAACATTGTAAATACCTTAATTAGTAACAATAGATGACGACAATTTTTTCACTGGAGTATTGTAACATTTTCACCTTGTTTTAAATCTTTTATACTTTGAACAAAAGCCATCGAGATAAAAAATAATTAAAATCTCAATTAGCTGTAAAGTTATCGCGATATGATATCTTCACACATGATAACGAGTCATAATTCTTTTTTCTCAACTCATTTGTCTTATTTTTGTATACTTGTATTTTTTTAAAGAACGTAATAAACTTTTGACAGAATCACCGTAGATCATAAAGATAACTATTTAAATGCGTATTGCTACAAACTTTGCAAAAGTCAAAAGAAACTTTCAAAAACACTTGTAACAGCATTACGGGCACAGGACAGTCATAACTTTGTAGATGCTGCTTAGAAATTGTGTAAACTGAACGATTCGTAAAAAAAATCCTACATTTTAATCTGCGATTTAACTTTCTCAGTCATTAGTGTCTTTTTAAACTGTGTATCGAATTCATTACTTCTTAATTCGATTAATATAGATATAAATATTACCGCTCGTTTCATCAAACAAGGATTCTCTCAAAGTAAGATTTTTTTATGTGAACAGAATATTTTAATACTTAAAAAAATGTTATTAGAGCTTTTGTTTGATCGCTAATTTTTGAATTTGAGTTACACCAAAGGTTTATTGTAAACGGTCTACAATTCATCCTGATTTGATTAAAAATATCTTCATTTGACATAGCATACTTGAGATTTATCCATTTTTTTTAATTAACTTTTTAGTAAATTATTCAAAATGAAAGAAACATGCAAAATAAGGAGTTATCAGCTCTATTATGTGTTATATTGAATTGTACAAATGGCTCATTTGTATTAAATTCTGGTAATCACTAATATTAAACTACAATAAGTGCAGTTTGATCAAACTAATAATATCCGATCAACGTAAACACGTTCTGTTTGAAGCACTAATATACGCTTGAAGAGAGTACAGTCTGATCAAACAACTAGTCTACGATAGGAGTGAGTGCTGTCCGATTAAACCACTAACATACGATCTGAGTGAGTTTAGTCTGATCAAACCACTTGATCGAAGTAAGCACATTCTGCTTGAAACACTAATATACGATCAAACTAAATGCACTCTAATCAAACTAGTAATATACAATCGGATTAAGTACAGTCTGATTAAACTACTAATATACAATCAGAGTAAATGCAATATCATTAAACCACCAATATGCGATCTCAGTAAGTGCAGTCCGATCTGACTTCCTGCTTTTTACACAAGGAATCTTACCCACCCGAAGCTCCGGTGGGCGAAAAATGATTCCTCCGTACAAAAGGTCAACTTTTGGAGAAGAAAGAAACATAACATTAATTTCTTTTTTTTTTAAATGACGAACAAATTATATTATTAAAATTATAGGAACATAAGAGGACAACATTTAAACAGTATTTTATGAATCTCTTTTTTTTCCAAAAATTTCGAAAAGATGCATTAAAGATTTTTGAAAATTCTAAAACTTAGTATCCCTTCTTTTTTTTTTTTTTTTAAAAAAGTAACTGGTTTTAACTGTAGAAAATATTCGTAAAAAAATTTTAATTTAATTTTCTGCACCCTTTCTGCACCCTATAGGTAAAAAAGTTAGATATTTGAACCTCGTACAATAATGCGTTTTAATATCGTATAATAAAAATTTTCCAGGAGCGTATGAATCAGAGAAATGAATATATAAGAAGATATTTTTAATAGTTTACCATTGGGTTGAACAACTTTTTACTTTCAGAATAGGATTTTAATCTATTTATTATTATGATATATATTATTTTAACTTTATATACCTGTCAACTCCCAGGAAAAATGCCCTACCTGGTAGTGAAAATATAACAATGGGTAACGAATTGTTTGTTTTATTTTTACATGTACTTGATTTTGCCTTATTTGAATGAGGGGATTTCAAATCTGAATTAGTTTTGACCTGAAAATTGCAGATTTTTTACTTACAAAATATGCAGTTTAGTTTATAGTTTGCCTGAGTATATAAGTTTTTATTTTATAACCGTCGTTGAACAGCCGACCCAATTTCATGGGTTTACGACTGCTTACGTTCAACTCCGTAGCCTTGTAATTTTGAACCAATCCAGAAGACAAGGAAACTCCTGGATCAGTACCCCCAGAGGTATTGATTTGTTGTGGGAACATGGAGGACTTTGAGACTCGACAGATTTAACGTGCATCAGTCACCATTTACTACACGGGGAGTCTTCGGCCGGCGAGGATCGAACCCACGACCTCTTGGATGTGGGCCCAGCGCCCTACCGACCAGGCTATCCCGGCCTTAGCGTATCATACATAAACAGATATGCATTATACAATAAGAAACAGAAACGCCTTCCTATAAGGTGAACCAGATTCGAAACCCAGCAATATCTGCTAGATCCGAGTTTCGCACCTGACGTAAAATATATCAGTGGTAGACGGGTCATGGATTAGAGTCTTCTTGCCGTCGAGCGAATCATTGGAGTTTTTCGCGATTTTTCTCTCCATGTAACACAAATGCGGTTTAGTTCCATCAAAAAGTCCTCTACGAGCACAAATTTCTCCCACTATTTGATCCGAAAATCCCCTTATCTTCTGGATTGGATTCTAAATTAGAAGGCTAAGGAGTAGTAATCGTGAATCGAAATTTGGGTCATCTGTTCACCGACACCTGTAAAATAATGTATTTGATCTTACCTAATTCAGATGTGGGGATTTGAAATCGGTAATTAGTTTTGTCCCGAAAGTTGTATACTTTTTTTTAACAAAATATTTAGTTAGGTGTATTGTTAGACTGAATGCACAAATTTACATAGACCGTATAAGTTTTTATACATATACACTTGTCTGCTCCTTTAAAATAACATTGAATCCAAAAAACATTTGATCTGAAGGTATCATACATAAACTGAAAAATACTATCACCCTATGAAGTATAGAAATAAAGGCAATCAGTATTGATTTGAGGGAGTTAAAAAGAATATCCTGGTTAGGACTAAACTAATAAATTTCATGAAAACTGTAGCCTAGATAAATAAACCAATTTTCAAATTTGAAATGAGTAAAGCGAAAATATCTTAGATACGTTCGAATTTGATATGCTGCAGTAAACAATAGAAAATTTGTTCCGTTTTGAAATTGAAATATAACTGTGAATAAAATATTGTTTTTAATTGGTCAGAGTTTAAACACACTATGATGTAAATGCTATTTATATATGACTTATTGTCGGAGTGAAATATGAGTGATTTTTTTTTCGAGAGAGAGAAAGTGAGAATCATTTTAAATTACTTATATTACTATTTAAATTACTCATTTTAAATATTAAAAAATACTACAAATCTTGTTACCACTTTAAATAAAAAACTACAATGGAATGAAGATTGCATGCTGAAAACACGTAGAAATTCAGCCAGAAATTAATAACATTATAAGAGTCAAAATGTATTCTTTTAATAAATAAAATGTGATTTTATATATCTTCCAGGAAAAGTTGGCAGGTACAACGCATCTAGGTAAATAGCTATACCATTACCTATCTACATTCCAACTTCTCGCTAGCGTTAGTATACAACTATTGAAGAAACTAATGCCAGGAATAACTAAACTCATTTTCTGACATAATTTTATTCATAGAATAAATGCCTGATACTCATACTTTAAATAAATGAAAAATTTAGCTTTTCTTTCCATTTTTATGAAACTAATTAAATTTAGATATATTTTCCTGTAATTATTTTCAGTATCTACCAGCAAGATATATTGCTATCAGATACTCTCATAATAAATCAAACTTTTTTTATTTTCAGGAACGCTAACAATATTATAACTTATAATAAATATATTTTATTTTCTGAAACGGTATTTTATAAAATTTGAATCACCTCATTTCCATTTTAACATTTGTCAAGTAAAAAGAAGCAGTAATTTTTTTATTTACTTAAAATTACATTTCTTAAAGTTACTTAATAATTCATATACCTTAAAATTCAAAATTTTTTGACACGTTTTCACAAACATAATAATAAATTATAAATAATTATTTAAAGCTACTTTTGGGATGAAATAATCTTTGGGTAAACGAATTTTATAACTGTGTATAAAATGCTTCAATGAGCTTGAAAATTCTACGAGATATTGCTTAACACACAAAAATTAAAATTTAGAAAACTAAACTTTTGATCGCTCTCCTGACCATACTATTGGAACCATTTCAACAGAATTCGAATTTGACAGAAAAGGAACTTAATAAAAAATGTGCGGTAATATGACTGATTATGTTTCTTAAAATATTGTCTGTTGCACTAATTAATGAGTGCAATTAATTAATGCAAATTCAAGTTTTGGCCCTTGAATCACTAAGATCGGCTCTGAAGTCTGATTTATCATAAGTTCATATGTTATTCAGAGTTTTTATTTTTTGCAACAAAAACAAAATACAAACAAGATAAAAATTAAAACTAAGCACTTTAAGCTTCAAGTGCAAATTATGCGCCTGTTATAAATCATTATTTAATACAAAATATGTCTTTTTAAAATAGTATGTGTTTCCTAGTTTGCCACGGGTGACTAAAATAGTAAAAAGTGGTGACGAATAAAATTTTCAAATTTTATAGTATATTTTTTTAAGTTACCAGAATTACCAATTCGCTCAGCTTTGTAAAAAATTATTTTATAGTAATATCAAAATTAAAGTTATTTTTAGTTAAGTTTTCTTCATTTTTTGTAATTTGGCATATTGAAAATATAAAATATCATAAGAAATGCAACTTTATTACTGTTGTCTCGTGGTGACGCTTTTAAAGAATGGGCGTAATTTACTTAATTCTACTTGGTTTACTCTTCAATTCGCTACCAATTTATTAGAATTTTGCAGAAAGCGGAGTAGTTTTTATTTCTAGTTTATTTCTGAAAGTAGATTCCGGGAATGATTTTCCCTAAATTTTCAACAAGAACAGTTTGAAATCCATCTCATAGTGATATTAAATAAATAAATAACAGTTCTACCACTTTTTACATTTTAATTGCCTATGACGTCACTGCATATCTTTTGTAAGGAACACGACTTCAGCATGTTAATTGGTGGCTTTGAATTAATAATATTTGTTTGCTATGGAAAGAAGAAATATCGATTATTTTGTTCATTACAAACAAACATAATTTATCGCAAAGTAAACGTATTACCTCCTTCTTCCTACCACTTTCTACGTGGCAGAGAAGTGGGAAATCTTAGTAGGCACACAAATTAAATTTTAAAAAACTCTGGATAAAAATATGTTATTAAATTGCATAAAATCTGTATCATGTAGTGAAACCGATTGCGAATTTGAAAACAGCGACGAAAAAATATCCAAAATTCCGGTCTATAGGCTAATGCACATACCTGCCAACTCTTCCGGATTTTCCTGAAGATTTTATTTTCATATTTAAAGTGGTAGTAAGCATATACTATTTTTTTCTTTTATAAACTTAATTTTTAGATGATTTCGATCACCACTATTCTTACAAAAATTAAGCACATATATTACTATGGTTGTCAATTTAAGTTCTCTCAAATACAACGTATTTGTTTGCTTAAATTTGAAGTTTTAATTCCATTTTAATACCACTGGAAAAAGTGATAATGGAAGGGATTAGAAAATATTAAAAAAAAGAAATTTCTAATTTATTATAGCGTGAATAAATGCACCTTTTGCTTATCTGAAAATTATACGTGTTTTTTCGCGAACAGAACTTTCAAACAGAAATAATTATCTATATTTGTGTTTATAATCGAACCACTTTTTAACTTTTGAGAAGCCTGTTCAAGAGCGATACAAGAATTGAAGAAATTTTCAGATCTAAAAGAAGAATACTTTTCAAACATTCTTTTGAATTCACAAAAATCCCTTTTTGGTATTAATTGCTATCACAACTTTGAAAAGATTAAAAAAAACTTTTTCGTATTATTTTCCTTCTTTTAAATTAAAGTATCCACCAGCCAAGTACATAGCTGTCAGATACCTCTATTAAGTTATAATATAGCATCAATGTATGAAAATACTTACAAAATTAAATGATTTATTAAATATATTTTATTTTCTGCAACGGTAGTTTCTAAAATTTGAACTTACTCATTTCTATCTCAACATTTGTCATGTAAAAAGATGTAGTATTTTTTATATTTATCGAAAATTGCATTTCTTAAAATGATTTAATAAGATACCTTAAAATTCAAAATTTTTCGAAACGTTNATATATTACTATGCGTTACTATCATGGTTGTCAAATTAAGTTTTCTCAAATACAACGTATTTGTTTGCTTAAATTTGAAGTTTTAATTCCATTTTAATACCACTGGAAAAAAAGATAATGGAAGGGATTAAAAGTTGGCAGGTATGAATGCATTAGAAAATATTAAAAAAAAAGAAATTTCTAATTTATTATAGCGTGGATAAATGCACCTTTTGCTTATCTGAAAATTATACGTGCTTTTTCGCGAACAGAACTTTCAAACAGAAATAATTATCTATATTTGTGTTTATAATCGAACCACTTTTTAATCGTTGAGAAGCCTGTTCAAGAGCGTTACAAGAACTGAAGAAATTTTCAGATCTAAAAGAAGAATACTTTTCAATCATTCTTTTGAATTCACAAAAATCCCTTTTTGGTATTAATTACTATCACAACTTTGAAAAGATTAAAAAAAAAACTTTATAGCATTGTTTTCCTTTTTTTAAATTAAAGTATCCACCAGCCAAGTACATAGCTGTCAGATACCGTTATAAAGTTAAAATTACTACAACACAACATATACAAAATTACTTACAAAATTAAATTGTTTATTAAATATATTTTATTTTCTGCAACGGTAGTTTCTAAAATTTGAACTTACTCATTTCTATCTCAACATTTGTCATGTAAAAAGATGTAGTATTTTTTACATTTATCGAAAATTGCATTTCTTAAAATGATTTAATAAGATACCTTAAAATTCAAAATTTTTCGAAACGTTTTCACACATATAATAATAAATTATAAATAATTATGTAAAGTTATATTAATGAGAAATTGCGAAACACGCAAAAAGTAAAATTAAGAGAACTAAACTTTTGATCGCTCTCCTGACCATACTATGGGAATTGGACAAAATTCGAATTTGACGGAAAAGAAACTTAGTAAAACATGTACGGATATATGACTCATTTTGTTAATATATTGTCCGCTGCACTAATTAATGAGTGCACTTAATGAATGCCAATTTAAGTTTTGCCCTTGAATCATTAAGATCGGTTCTGAAGTCGAATTCCGATCTTATCCAGAGTGTTAATTTTTTGGCAACAAAAACATTATACAAACAAGATAAAGTATGCATTAAACACTAATTATAAGCTTGAACTAAAGATTATTTTTGCTAAAGATTAACGAAAGATTTTTAAGCTTGAACTAAAGAAGAAGATTGCGTAGAAGGATTTCTTCTGAACCCGTACTGCTCGTTTGGGAGAAAACTTAGATGTGGATGAAGTCTGTTTAGTTGTATTCTTTCCATGATTTTTGATAAGGATGATAATAAACTAATTGGACTATAATTTTCTGCGTGAAGATGGTTTTTTATTGTTGCATGTTTCCAAAAACTTGGGAAGTGGCATAGCTTGAGTTAATAATATTTTTGAGTTGATTAGTTCTTAAGGTGGGTAAATTCCTAATCATGGAATTTGTAGTATTCCCCGGGCTTTCTGCTTATTTAGTTTTGAAATAATGTTGATGATTTCATCATCATCCGTACTGTTCATAGTATTATTATAATTATTATTATTAAAGTATGAGTAGTACTTATTGTTTTTTGTAGTCTATTAATTTCAGTTTTAATGCTTGGATTATTAGTGTTCTGATATTATTTTCTCAGTCTTTTTTTAGCTTTCACTTGATCTTTAATAATTCTAAGTATGAATTTGTAGTTTGATCTGACTTTAATTTCTTCGGTGGCATCGTTATATGCTGAATTAATGTCCGTAGTTNCTCTTATGGATGTGAATTGGGATTTATGAGTTTCTTGAAAAGGGATAAATTTAGGATATTTTTAAAAAGCATCCAATCGGTTTTCTTTTTGGTAATTATTTTTTCTTCTCTGTTAAAACAAGTAGTGGCTATTACTGGTAGGGGGTCGCTACTTAGTCCGTGCAGTACCTCCAATGAGTATAGTATTTGAATTCGTGATTAGAATGTCTGAAATTGAACTATTATTGGAATGATAGGAGGGTTCATCAGGAGCGAATAAATTTAGATTGACTTTGTTGATTAAGGAATTTAATTTTCTGCCTTTATCATTTGTTTTAGCACATCCACAATTATTATGTTTTTTCAGGCAACGCCTCCTATAACTGAAAAACTCCACACGGTATTTTATAGGTAGTCCGATCAGACCATTAGGAAGGTAAACTAGTTTACGAAAGAGCCATTTAATAGAAATTTATTAAATATAAGAAAGTGATAGTAAATGGACGTCAAAAATATTTTTGAATTTATGAATATAATTGATTTGTCTTATTTACTCGTCTATCACTAAAGATGATAATTATCTCTCAATTACTTTCAGAATAGAACTTGGTTTCGTGCGCACAGCTGGTTCACTTTTTAAGTAGTCTGCGCAGACTACTTATAAGAAACCGTGTGGAGGCTTTCTGATGTATGAGGTGATGGTTCAGGTCGCCAGCAATAATTGATTCCACATTTATTGGGAATAAGTCCTTGATAGTATCTTCTTGAATAGGATGACCAGGGGGGGGGGGTTGTACATACTTTTAATTTTCAGTTTTCTGCTTTTTTGGAGTGAAATTACTATGGATACTTCTTCATATCCATTTATATTTTTTTGGCTGTACAATGTGGAGTTGTAGCATCTCGTAACATATAATACAGTTCCGCTGATCGTGCGGTCACACCTGAATAAATTTTAATTGGCGAAATTGCATCTATTATATTTACTAAGGTGTGTTTCATTTATAGCTAGAATGTCTAAAACGTGCTTATAGATAAAATGTTTAGTTTCTTCTGGTTTGTTCTTTAAGCTTCATGCACTCCAGAATGCAATTTTTAAAGGAATGAATTTATTTTTATTATTTTGATCCATTTTTTAATTCTTAATGCTTCTTGTTAATTTCTGTCTGAACCCGCAAGGGAATCAGCAATATCTTTAGCTATGATAATTAGGGCGGTTAGTTCTTCCTTAGCCACTTTAATTTTTTCTTCAACTGCGGAACTTGTAGTCTGTTCCTTGAGTACCACAGCTGCATACGTTTTATTTTCGAAAACTGTCTTCCATGCCAGGGCTTATTTTTGGTTGTTTTTATTTTTTTTATTTGAAATAGCCAGGTATGCTGGGCATTGCCTACAGCTTGCGACATGATTTACCTGACAATTTGCACATTTTGGAGTGTCTTTTTTAGTTTTATTACAGTCTCTAGTAAGGTTCTGTTCTGCACATTTAACACACTTTGGGTCATGCCTACACCCGTTTTGAGAATGTCTGATAAATTGACAGCGATGACACTGCTTGAGCCCCTGGCCTCTTCCTCTGTATTTTTCAATTTTTACTTCACAATTTAGTTGAAAATCTATTTGCCAAATATCTTTACTTCATTTACATTTTTTAAGCGTAACTAGTTAATGTGCTACGTTTATTCTGTCTCCATTAACTCTTATCGTTAATTGAACTACGTTCTCTGGAGAGACATCATATTCATTTCTTAATGCTAAATTGACTTCTTTGGAGCCGATATCTTTCGGTAGTAAATAAATTGGCTATTCTTATTTATATATGTTTAAAAAAATTTATTATACAGGAAGTTAAAAGCGTGTTAAATCAAATATATTTAAATTAGGAATTAAGTATACTTGCAAAAATATTTCAATCACATTAAATACATGCATGCCGATACTGTTGAATAATTTAAAAAAGAGAATATATTTACTCCTTCCGAAAAATAGATAAGACTGAAGTGGGTTAAGACTAATAGCTTATCCTCTTTTCTATCTCGCTTTCACCCATGATCACATATGAATATATCTCCATAATATTTCTTGTGAATGGATCAGTAACGATAACTGCCTACCACTTCTTTAATAAGACGTTGTTGGAAAAATATTTCATTAATTCTGCATTTTATTTTCAGGTATGAAGCAAATCTACATACCTAAAAGGCATATTATTATTCTGCTGGGATGTTTCGGAATGTTGAATGTGTATGCCATGAGAATCAACCTTAGCGTTGCAATAGTGGCCATGACAAATCATACATCTATTAACCCTCTAAACAACTCTATCAGTCAAGTTTCGGAATGTTCAAACCTCCTACAAAATCAAACAACACACGAAGTCATGAATTATAAAGTAAGAGTTTATTTATAACCAAGTTATGTTGCAGTTCTCCTTTCAAGATGACTTATGAATTTAGAACAATTCTGTACAATTTAGTTTTAAATTATTTATCGCTTCATAACATTAAAAAAAAGTTATTTCTGTTCAGCAATCTGCACTAAAATAATGAAAATTGTTATTTTGATGAAAAATCTTTAACTTTTTAATGCAAAAGAACAATTAAATCTTCTTTTTTTTTCGTAATTCGTAATTTTTTTTTCGTTTTTATTTCTGATCGTAAAGACACGGCTCCCAGTTGAATACCGAAGTCCAGCATCACTGGCTGCGATCAGTAAGCGGGTGGGTGACCTTCTTAGTTATGATGCCGTAAATAATTTTGCAAAATCAAATACGTTATGGTAAACCTTCTTGATTTCCACAATTCAAATTCTTGAATACACCCGATTTAACTATACATAAAAATTACTTTTTAGGGTGAGAAGTACAATTGGAATTCCAAAACACAAGGAGTTATACTTGGATCCTATTATTATGGATATGTCATTACACAATTGCCTGGTGGCATTTTGGCAGAAAAACTGGGTGCAAAATGGGTGTTTGGTGGAGGAGT